TAGTGCACTCATTATTGTCTTCAGTCCTTTATTACTAGCTCAAATTACTAGTGCAGTACTACATGTGCAAGTTTGCTCTCATTTTCTTTTTTCTTTAGAGAAGCGCTTACTTGTTCAAACTGATGATGCAATTCCTTTAATTGATAGTCCTACAAAAGAAAAATTAAATCTTCAATATAGCATTGACAATGTTTCTTTTTTTTTTGCTGATGTTTGCTTTTGATAGTCTGTGATAAAATGCTTATTTGCAATTAAGACTACCATCAATCAAACTATTGATCTTCTTTATAATACAAGCAACTAGTGATAAAGGCACAACTTGGTGTTTTTGATGATATTTGAAGGCAGTTTATTTCATTATTACATTGCATGGTGCATTAATTAAATGTCTGGACAACAATGATCAATTATCATGTTGACAATTTCTTTTAATCCTTAATGACCACAGCTGATGTGTGGTTTATCTAATAAGTGTAACTCTACATGTACCTTGCTGCTTGTCCAGGAAAAGGAAAATTTACCAGGAAGGTCAGTCGTACAAGTTGGTGGAACATTGGGATGCTAGAAAGAACAGCAAATTCAAATGTCAAATGTAAATTAATTTAAATGAAAATTCCTCAATTGTTAAACTGTATATATGAGTTTGCTGAAGAAGGCCGAAGTGCCGAAACGTCCAATAAACAGAGTTAATATAGCTTCAAGTTGGTGTTTTGTTCTATTTCATTCTACTTAATATAAATATATATACATGTACATGTAGTTGCAGGAACACTGTACAATTCAATACAAAGCCAATAATCAATAACGCAGCAACACCCCTTTGCACAACAACACCATATAGCATATAACAACACCACTGTATAGCCTCTTCCTTTTCCGAAATGGCACTAATATTACTTAGATTTTTGCAAAGAAATGTGAAAAATGCTGAAGAAATGTTTTGCTGTACAAACCCATCTCGCTACACAKTTTCTATTGTACCCAGGCCATCATGAATGAGAGTCTGCAATGAACTTACCTGTGGTGATAGCTTAATTGTCAAAAAGTGATCTCTTTTTTTATTGTCTTTGGCCATTAATTTTAATGAAGTAAATGAAGGRTCTATATACACCAACCTGAAATATAATTTAAGAAGTTTTTTGAATTTTAATACATTTATCAAATCTATCCAGTTTAGGTGAAATTTAGTCACCTCGCAGCCGTTCTTAATGTCTAGCTACCTAAAGATTTGGTCATGCACACATGTATGTAAATCTTTTTTTGACAGGAACATGCCCTGACTGACCCTAATAGTCTTCTTCACGGTTCCCTGCACGATCTTGAAAGGTAGCCCTGCCTTTGTATCAGAGTTAGAGGACCGTTAAACGTGCAATGCTAGAAACCTTCTTTCACACCTGTGAAGGCAATTATTCACAGTTTTCTATTATTGTATACCAAACGGCCGTCCCGCATTGATGCAAAGGCTCGGTTACATTTCAAGATGGCGCAGGGTGACCTGATAAAGGCGACTATTTGACAAGCCCTATATTTYTCTGGAAAGAAATATGGTTCAATGACAATAAATCACAAGGTGTCGGAAGTGACTTACTTATCCCATGAAATTGCTTCCATCTCTTCAATCAGTTGAGTGTAGTACTTTGGATGATTTATGATTCTTTCTTCATTCTTTGATTGTAATAGTCTTTCCTGTTGGAGAACAACCTTGGCTATGAATATGTCATTTTATTACCATTCTCATTTCCAGAGCCTCTAGAATAGGTTCTGGTTTGCAAGATGTCAAGCAGCCATTCAGGGTTTAGTAAGGAGTCTATAAACATGTAATTAAGAAACTGGTAAAAAGGAGAGCAGGAAATTAAAGAAAATGGAAAATGGGAAGACTGGGATAGAATACTTCTTGGAAAAAATAGAAGACTTAATAAGAAACTTGAATTAAAAGCTATGAAATCATGAAAACAAGATGTTTGATGCATACCAAAATAGTTTTCAACTCTGTCAAAAATGATGGAAGATCYGCACTCTGGTCAAGTCTCTATAAAAGTGAAATAAAATATTCATATTGCGCAAGACAACGAATGAATTTATAAAAGGAGTTGGAAGAGGTAGTGGGAAGAGTAATTCAATTAAGTGAGGATGGGAAGTAGGAGAAAAATGAAAAAAGGGGAAATGCACAAGGCAAGTTATAACTTACTTGTTTTAAAACACCTTGATAGTCTTTGAGCAAATGCTTTAGTTTCCARCAGCATTCGATCCTTTTTTTCAAGAAAATCAATTGCGTATAAAATGTCGCCTTGCATTGTAATAAAAGTTGGTTAAAATATCAAATAAAATCCAACCTTATACCTTGCATCTTTCATATTGGATGATTCTGGTAAGGAAATTGAGATACGAAAAGACTTGTGCTACAAAGAAGGACGGGAAGAAAAGTAAGTTAAAGTTAAGAAGATGACTTTTAAAACTCAAAGCTTGCCCGTCAGACGTCCACACTCTTTTCACAGATTGTCCACACTCTTACAACACATTTTCAYCAAAATTTACGAGATTCTCGGGGAACTTTTTACGGTAACTTACACAGACAGTGATATACCCTTCGTAACGGCGAAAGCTCGAGTCCTGTGGAATCAAAAGAGGGCAAACTTCAAAGACTTCCACCTTGCCCGCCATATTTTCTGCCTGCGCAAATCCAATCTTCGCGCGCTTTACTATTACAAAGGAAGACCACGATAGCTATCTGTTCCAATCTAAGAGTAAAACTGCTTTGTAGAGGAATAGAAAAGAAAAAATATATATATCTTTATAGACTTCGAATTATAGCTCCTATTTTGAACTTCAACCGCTAATCATGTTAACATTTGCGTTTTTGTATTTCATGAATGGTTTTCCTGKGTTGCTTGACCATGGGGAGGAGGGGTAAGGTAGATTTTGATCAGGAAGATCGCCCCAGCTCAGCTCTTCGACAGACAATCAATTTTTCTTTCAAATATATTAGTTTGTGAGTGTTGATCTACTTCATAAAATGGTAAGTTAGCATTTCCTTAAGGTTAAAACCTTTTATAACTTGCAAGCTATTAAGAATTATAAGCCTTATGGCTAAACTGGACATTTTTAAACTTCACCTTTCGGCTTCGATCGGCACTTCAACTTAAGTTTATTACTTATTGAATGACTCTAGAAAACATTACGCTACATTGTAGCTTACCCCTTTATAAACTGCACACCAAGCAAGGTAGTACATTACCGACTTGTTGTTCAAAATCTGYTTTACAAGTAAACTTAAGTTTTTTAATGCATTTTGGTCATTTTGTAGTCTGCAGAAAAACTCGAAGTTTGTGATATCGAYCCTGAGGTAAAGACTGCTGCCGAAAAATTTCGCAAACGCAAGGAAAAGACAAATGGAGCTTTGATATGTAAGTAAAGGTAATAAGAAAGTGAATATTTATAATGTTTTAAAGAGTTCATGATCGAGGCCAGGGGGTGTTGTCAACTCCCACGACACCTTGGCTATCAATTCACCATATAGGGTCATGTACGATGTACACCATATACGTCGTAGCATGATAACCCTGGGTAGCCTAGCAATTGCTTGTATTGGTTGGGGATATCTTGAAATATCAAAGTGAAACAGGGGTTTTGCACAAAAATAAATTACTGCAGATTCAAACTGTTAAATTGATGAAAAAGCTAAGCAGTCTTTCAAGATATTTCTAGGAACTATAAAATTGTAATTATTTAATGGATGTTATTTAAATTATTTTAATCATTTTTATTTTAATAATTTTTACTTTGTTTTGCAGTTAAAATAGATCCCTCAAAACAACTGGTATATGTTGATGAATTACATGATGTAAGTAAAATTCAATTGTCTCAAATTTAAACACAACAACAGTTTTGGTTTGGCTTCAATAATATTGACKTTTTACGTGCAAGTTCTCTAAACAAAGTTGCATTATACTAGGACATCAGTGTTGAAGATCTGAAGGAAGAACTCCCTGAACACTTACCTGTGTATCCTTGTCTAGTATTGGTTTACTCAAACATTCTTCACTTTTACCGTAAATGATCTAATAAACGCCCACTCTCTAATGAACGCCTCCTATCTAATGAATGCCCCCCCCCCCCCATGCTTACAAGTTTCTCTAACAAAGGCCCCCTGTCTATTAAAYGCCCTCCCAACTCCCCTCTGTGCCACCATCCATCACTAGAAACAAATGACTTAGAAATGCCAGTAACATAAATCAATTTAATTGTCTTCTTGCTGTTCAATTTCTAGTTCAAAATGAGGATAGCGTTCTTTAATTTTTCTGATTTCATTGCTTAGTATATCTCAGCAATTTTTGTGTTTTGTCCTATGACAGAGTAGTGCCCAGGAACTGCAAGGCCTACATGTATTTCCCTTTTTTTAGGTAGAAGTTATGATAAAACATTAAATAAATCATTACATTACATTGTTACAGTTTTATTTTAGAATAAATGTCTCTCTAATAAAYGCCTCCCCGGCATTTATTAGACCACTTGCAGTAATTTTAGTTTATTGTGGTCTGTGTTTGATTTTATGAAATAAAGTAGTTAATTTGCCTTGACACTAAGTAGCTATATAATGTACAGCTATTGTCARAAACATGACGATGGGAGGATATCATATCCATTGTGCTTCATCTTCATTTCGCCCTCAGGCAAGTCTCTTTCTTAGCCAAGATCTAGTGTTTGAAAACAGAGTATAGACTCAACACTTGAGAAAYCATGGTTTTTGTCTGACAAGATAATTTTTTTTTAGGATGCAAACCYGAGTTGCAAATGATGTATGCTGGAAGCAAGCTTCATGTAGTCAAGGAAGTAGGAGCAACAAAGGTACAACGTGCATTCATGGTTTACCTGTTTTAGCACCGGAGGGGGCACAATGCCTGGAATGGGGGTCTGGGTAGGAGATGTTAGTAGGAGGGAGAGAAGAACATTTCATGTAGTTCAACTCTAAGTGATTGAATTTCTTTTCATTCTGTAGGTCTTTGAGCTTCGTTCTTATGAAGAATTTACTGAAGAATGGCTGTTGTCAAAGCTTGCATTCTTTCGATGAAGACAGTGTATAATAAACTCATTTTAAGTACATAATTTTTTTCAATAAATTTCTTTTTATATTAGAATAAACTAAGATATTTGAAAGAATCTGTTGAGAGGCAACAGTTACCAACTTTTATTTTGAAATCACCTAATTCTAAATTAATTGGCTAAAAATACAGATGGATCAAGTCAATTTTTTCTTTTATTCATATCAATGTTTCACAAAGATCTAGCATACGTGTAATTCTCATCTGTATTTTGTGTAGAGGGAACAGCTGTCTAACTAAACCTGAGTTGAAAATCTATGATATTCCTTGTAACYATGTCCTAGTCTTTTTGTAAACACTACTGTAAATTGTGTCCTACTGGTGTGTCAGCTTTTGAATTGTGAAAAAGTACTTAAAATGCACAGGCATACAGCAACAGGACCCACCTGCAATCAGTTTAAATTAGTTCAAATTGTATTTATAATACAAAGAGTGATAATATTACTGTTCTTTCCCATACACACAGCACTAACTAACTAAATAATCAAATGCTACAAGTATTCATCAGAATACTTGCATGTCAAATATAGCTCAAATAACTAGTTGTTCCTATATTTTAATAGTCTCCTTGCAGCCTTGTTTAGTTTTGGTCACGTGTAACGCAAAGTGTGTGGAGAGGCTGCATTACACGTGACCAGAACTAGACTCGACTGCGAGGAGACTGTAGACCTATTTAGTGACTATGAGACATTATCACTTAACTGGAACAGTTACAACAAAGTATCGTTTCCTTTGCTCTCAATTCCCTTTGTGTACCCTGCACACTGTTACTAAGACAGCATTACAGTTGAGTGATACTGACTAGCAGTCACTAATTTCATGGAGATAGTAAGCACTCTATAACCTGRATGTTAATTTTATGTTTCTAACAGTTTTCATTCAGCTGTATGAAGTCAGCTACTCACTATAATGTTTTCAGAGTAACTATACAGTAGTTAGATATACAATGTACACTGTTCACCATGTGATTTTCAATGAGCAACAGTTCACAAAGTCAGCACCTAAGAGTGATAGTCTTTCAGTTCATATCCTTATATAAATAACACTAAAACTTGGAAATTTTGCAGTGTGATTATTGTGCAACAATTGACATACTTATACATATATAAAATTGTCCCACTATTATAGCGATTGCTATAGACATGCTTGAAAATTAAGCATGGTAAAATTGCAGATAATCCTTGCAATCATTCAAAGAGAACATAGTTGCACACACAAGAAGATTGTCATGCACAATAATGATGGTACTGTAAAATTTGCAAACAAAAAAAAGAACAGCAACGACAAAATACAACCTTATGTTTTGAAGTGTGACATTAATGTGAAATAAACATTTGAAATAATTTTCATAATATTTCACTTTTCTAGAGTAATAATAAAGGAATGTTTAAAATCACATGATTTTGGGTGTATTTTCCATCATTGTTATTCATACAGTATAGAAAGCAGTTATTTTTCTTTCTTTTTTTCCAAACAGACAATGTTTTGCCCTCACCCGGGGATTTTGCTAATTTTGGTTATTATTAAAATCAATTCTCCAGGGGTGTCGTGGGGGTCGACCCAAGGGAAAGGAAGTGATAGTGCATTTATAGTCACTAATTATTACAAATAATGTGGCATTTTTGCTCTCATCAATCAATGTATATTAATTCAAAGTTCACCATATGGCCCATACCTTTTTATAAAACGTCTTTGCAGAGGAATAGAAATGAAAAAAAATCAAATCTTTATCTTCGACTATTTTGAACTTCCACCGCTAATCATATTTACATGAGTTTTTGTATATATTTTCATGAATTGTTTTCCTGTGTTGCTTGACCATGGGGAGGAGGGGTAAGGTGAATTTTGATGATTAGACATCGCCCAGCTCATCGACAGACTGAATCAAGTTTTCTTTCAATAGTTTGCGAGTGTTGATCTACTTATAGAATGGTAAGTTAGCATTTTAGTAAAGCTTAAAACCTTTTATAACTTGCAAGCTATGAAGAATTATTTATAAGCCTTATCAGCGTAAACTGGGCATTTTTGAACTTAGGTGTAGCCAATCGATGGAATCGATCCGATCGATTGCAATCGATGACTCAGCCGATGAAATCGATGGAAATTAATCGAATAATATCGGAAATCGAGTACCAATCGATGGGCCAAGTTGGTGTGACTTCATCGATTGACATCGATTGCTTAATCGATAAAATAGAAGAGTATTTGCAAAATAAAATCGTTTACAGTCAAAGAACGTCACGCGTGAACGCTCACATTCGGAAGATTGCTATCTTCAAATAAACATTCAATTATCCAAATGAATGCTTCATTAATCGAATCCTGAATTTTATAAATTATTATATATTTTTTAATGTTTGATTAATGTAACAAAGAATTCATTTTTGTTTCGGCGTAAATGAGTTTTATCAGTGCCTGGGAAAATTCTTAGATTCGATCAAGAACAACAAGACATGCCCTTGTGTAAGGCGTCGCGATATAGTTGTTGTAAAAATATTACATATTATATATTGTATCACTGATAGTTTAATTGGTTCAATACGGGCCAACAACTAAAAAATCTGAAAGACTAATTTTTATTAAACTATGCCCTGCGTGTGGTCGTTTCTTTCAAGTACTGCTACTATCGACCGGACGGTCTTATAATAGCTTCGTGATGGTCCATGATCGTTACCTGCAGTTATTAGTTTCCTATAATTAATTCGCTAATTTTAGAGTACATAACACTAAATCTGTGCAACATAAACACCACTAAATACTGCTAAATTATGCTAATTCTATTGTTTTCTATTGTTTAATTAACACTGTTTTGTAGTAAATAGTGGAAAGTGTTGCACACATTTAATGTTTGTACTCTAGTGGGAAATTTATCTTTGATACGTTCTCCAAAGTAATCAATCCAGGGCGGTAGCTAGTATGAGGGCCTATGAGGCCAACCGCGAGGCACTACGCGCGCCTCGGTAAAATTTTGCCGATGCTTTTYGATTTTCATCACTGATATCATCTTTATAGCCTCTCACAGCCGATTTCTAGACTGATTCCATAAGTCGTAGTATTCGCTCCTCGATATTTCGGTTTGTCGCTCAAACTAGCAACTTCGTACTGTATCACAAACGACTGTACAAACGAAAACGAGGCTGTCGTGCATATTTTTTAATATTAAATTAAAATTAATTAAAATTAAAATTCCTTCTTCGGCCCCCCAGCAGGAACGCCTGTTAACAGGCTAGATCGCCTACTATCTTATACTTTGTCCTCGGAGAGATTACTATAAGGTTATATATGTGTTGGAAGAGAAACATTGTCTGTCCGCATCCCGTAGGAAGACACACAAACATATTCTTTCCTCATAGCTTCAAAGAGCGAAACACATTATTACTGATGGCAGTAGTAAGCAAAGCACCGCTCGAGCCCCGAAAATAGGAGGTAGGAGGCAGGAGGTAGGAGGTATGCTAATGAGACGTTGGTAGAATACTAATGAGGTTCCCCGCATTGGTAATTTATGCCCCGTCCAGTAGGTGGTATAAATTATTTCAGTAGGAGGTATGCTAATGAGTCAAAAGTGATAGGGGAGGGGTGGTCAAAACGAGTAGGAGGTAATTGATTATCATAAAATTGTGGGCAATCTAATTATGCAACGTTAGTGTTGATAAATCGAGGGCAACCTAGTCATACAACTTATGTGTTGGTAATCTAATTATGCAATGTTGATAATATTTTATGTCAAGGTTCAGCGATCGCATAAATTAGTATCTGAAGAAAAGGTTAATGATCACTTTTGTTCTGAGACAATAGGTCACCTGCTACAGGAGTTTGAATAACCAAAAATTATGATTTTCAGCCTTTTTATATTTCTAACTATTGATTACTATACCTCACTTTTATTGTAAAGGCATTCATTACTTTGAAAACTTCCGAGAGGCCCGGAAAGGACCGGAAAGGCCCGAAGCTGTCCGAAAGTTCCGGAAAGGCCCGAAGCTGTCCGGAAAGGCCCGAAGCTGACCGGAAATGGCCCGAAGCTGACCATAGAATGAGCTCCTGTTTCATCAGCATTTTAAAATAAGCAACAACAATGCAATCATTTATTTCAGTTGGTTTTTATTTTTCAATTCATCAGTGATTACAATATAACTTAAGAAAGATCGTAAACAGATGTCCTATGTTGCGAGGCGTGACTTAGTGTTTTACAATTCTTACATAGTTTGGAGTAACTTTTCGCGGTATCATAATTCAGAGGAAATTTATGTTTACAAATCGGGCAGGTTAAGATCATACTGAAGCGAGGAGATGGATTTGACAAAGCATCGTGCCAATGACATTTTGGGCATGCAGCTATCATTTTTACGTCAACATCTTGGTGATCGCAATGATCGCAACACTTTTTGTCATTTGGCTCTTCTTCTTCACTTTCTTGTTCTGAATTTTCATCCTCCTGCTCTTCATCTTCTTCCAAAGCTTCATCTGATTCTGAATCTTCCGAATCTTCTTCTTCGGTTTCCGAATGTTTGCTTCTGATGGAGCTTTCTTCGCTATCATCACTATCGGTGATTTCTTCAGAGTGACGATTCAGTATTTCCTCCTTGTCAAGAATTACTCTCAAGGCTTTTTTATTTTTTATCCATTTCTTGTTGATTCCGAGCTCCGCGAGTCCTTCCAGGAACGAATTGAGGGCACGCGGTTTTGTTACATCGTTATTGAAAGGAAGCAGCAGATACTCCAAAAGTTCTGAGATGCTGGTTTCGGGGATACGACGTTGATTACGGAGTAATTCCCCTCTCGGAGTCCAAAACAAAATGTCTTTAGATGCAGCCATACTGTGCAAAAGATCTGAAGCATGCTGTTGAGAAACAGAACCAGGGAGCTCTTGTAACACTAACTGGATTATGGGCTCTTCATCATCATCACTTTCGCTATCTTCATCATTAGGTATTTCATGAATTTCTTCAGCTTCATTATCTAAAGATGACTTTCTATTCATGATAGAGAAGTTTACTGCACCGATGTCCAAAGCAAATGACTGCTGATTCCTCCAGCTGACGAATTTATAGCAATAAAAGAGCACTGAGGAAGGGGGTCAACATATCGGGAATAAATGAACCCCCCTCTTGCACGAGAATCTGTTTCTTTTTCTTATATGGAGTGCTTGGGTCTTCGAGTTCTTTGATAGAATCTTTAAAAGGCATCAAGATTTCTTTTTCTCTATTACTCAAAGGGATATGTCCTCTGCATATATTATGTGC